GAACTCAAGAAACTAGACATCAAAATACCAAACAATCCAATTAAAAGAATGGGCTACAGATCTAAACAGAGAATTCTAAACAGAAGAATCTCAAATGGCCGAAAGACATTTAAGGAATTGCTCAACATCCTTAGTCAGCAGGGAAATGCAAATCAAAACAACTCTGAGTTAGCATCTTACACCTGTCAGAATGGCTAAAATTAAAAACACTGATGACAGCTTATGTTGGAAAGGATATGGAGAATGGGAATACTCCTCCACTGTTGGTGGGAGTGCAAACTTGCATAGCCACTTTGGAAATCAGTATGGCAACTTCTCAGAAAAATGGAAATCAATCTACCTCAAGACCCAATGATACCACTCTTGAGCACCCAAGGGATGCTCAATCATACCACAAGGACACTTGGCTCAACTATGTTCACAGCAGCATTATTCGTAATAGCCAGAACCTGGAAACAACCTAGATGCCCCTCAACTGAAGAATGGATAAAGAAAATGTGGTATATATTACACAATGGAGTATAACTCAGCTGTAAAAAACAATGGTATCATGAAATTTGCAGGCAAATGGATGGAACTAGAAAATATCATCCTGAGTGAGGTAACCCAGCCTCAGAAAGACAAACATGGTATGTACTCACGCATAAGTGGATACTATATGTAAAACAAAGGATAACCAGACTACAAGTCACAGCTCCAGAGAAGCTAGGAAACAAGGAGGACCCTAAGAGGAACACATGGATCACCTTGGGAAGGGGAAACAGATGAGCTCTCCATGAGTAAGCTGGGGATGGGGGGTGGAGTAACAGAGGGGAGGGTATGAGGGATGAGAACATGAGGGAATGGGATGATCGAGCTGGGGGAGGGAAGGAGTGGGAGAGCAAGAAAAGAAATATCTGGATAGAGGGAGACATTATGGGGTAAAGGATGCTAGGGAAATTCCCAGGAATCCACAAAGACAACCCCAGATTAGACTACTAGCAATAGTGGAGAGGGTTCCTGACATGGCCTACCCGGTAATCAGATTGGTGAATACCCTAACTGTCATCATAGAGCCTTCACCCAGTAACTGATGGAAGCAGATGCAGAGATCCACAGCCAAGCACCAGGCCAAGCTCCAGGAGTCCAGTCAAAGAGAATCAAGAGGGATTATATGAGCAAGGGGTGTCAAGATCATGATGGGGAAATCTACAGAGACAAATGAACCAAGCTCATAAGAACTCACAAAATTTAGACCAGCAGCTGTGGAATCCGCATGGGACCAGACTAGGCCCCTTGCATACGGGAGACAGTTGTGTAGCTTGGTCTGTTTAAGGGGTCCCTGGAAGTGGGATAAGGATCTATACCTGGTCCATGAGCTGGCTTTTTGGAGCGCATTACCTATGATGAGACGCCTTGCTCGGCCTTGATTGGGGGGGGGGGGGCTTCCTCAACTAAATGTACCACGCTTTGCTAACTCCCAATGGGAGGCCTTACCCTTTTGAAGGAGTGGATAGGGGTGGGTCGAGGGGAGACAGGCTGGGGGGAGAGGAGTGAGAAGAGGGATGAGAGGGGGATCTGTGGTTGGTATGTAAAATGAATTAAAAAAATTTAAGAACCATCATTAATCATCAATCTGTCTATGCTGTAGTTTTGGGGATTGAACCGAAGGCTTTATATGTGCTAGGCAAATGCATTACCACTGAACTATATTCCCAAGCCTTTCTATACTTTTATATTGAAATAGGATCTCATCAAGGTTGGCCTTGAACTCTTTCAGTATCCCTGTAGGTCCCGGAAGCTATGAGCTAACTCAGTTTCTCAAGTAGCTGAGTCCACCACCTAGAAATTCTTATCTGCACCAGCAGGCTGACTAGGAATATTTAATTCAGTGATTCCAGTGGATATATACTAACCTTTCAGTTTCCTAATGCATATCAGCCAGTGTTTAGCAAATACTCTTTTTCAGAGTAAAAGGGTACTGTTTCTTATGGTTTTTCATGATAAATAGATACTAAATTTTATTCTATATAAATGGTGCTTCAATTATGCGTATTTAGTTTTTTAAAAAAGTATCTAGAGCTCATAGCATAATTGATAATGAAATATTCAATACTTTCTTCAGATGGGGAGGAAAACAAGGTTACCTCCCTATCACTGCTATTCAGCACTGTCCTAGTGATCCCTCGCCATGCAATAATGAACAAAACAAAACAAAAAAATGAACAAACAAAAGAATAAAGACTGGACAGGAAAAAAATAAAAGTGCACACTAGGAATAATGAAACAAATTACTAGAATAAGAGCTTACAAAGATACAAGATTATGACATAATTAATTGGGTGCTCTGGAGTTTATACAAAGGAATAAGGTAGTATGTATGTATGTATGTATGTATGTATGTATGTATGTAATTATTTTGGGTTTTCAAGACAGGGTTTCTCTCTGTAGCTCTGGCTGTCCTGTAACTAGTTCTGAAGACCAGGCTAGCCTTGAACTAACAGAGATCCACCTGCCTTTGCCTGAGTGCTCAGATTAAAGGTGTGCACCCCCACTGCCTGGCTTGTAAGCATTTATTTTTCACTTAAAAATTTAATGATTCTTTTAAATCATAGTAAAAACTAAAAGAGATAGTATGTAAAACAGTTGATTAACCACAATACAAGCTTCATAAATGCTACTCTTTATTCCTTTCTTTTAATATATAAATTATCCTCAAACCCTTCAGATAACTTCACATTGACAATCAGAAGGGCTGGGGAGATGGCTCAGTGGGTAAGGGTGCTTGCTGTGCAAGCATGAGGACATACAAGTGAGGCATGGCAGCTTCTGCCTGTAACCCACTAAGAGGATGGAGAAAGAGATCCTGAAAGCTTGCTGGTAAGCCAGCCTAGCCTAAACAGTAAGCTTCCAGTTCAGTGAGAAATCCTATCTTAAAACAAAGTAGAGAATGAGAGAGAAAGACATCTCCTGCTCTGTCCTGCACACCCACACATTCGCATGCATGCAACACACATGCACACACGCCAATTAACAGAGGGACAATAAATATAAGAATTGAACTCTTAAGTCTCTTCCTTGAAAAGATTCTGGCATTAAATAGCTCTTTCTGAATATTTAAATATAAAGTTCAGTAGTAGAAATAATAGTTCCATGTAAAAAATGAGCACAAGGAATTAGGAGAACCAAATTCTTGGTTTTATTAGTGTCAGAAGTAACTCAGGCTTTAACTCCATAGATTCAAATAATGACTTCTAAAAATATGAGTGTTATGCTGGAAAATTTCCAAAGCCTCTTTTAGGATTTAAAATTCTATAACCATTCTATTAAAACAGCCTTATAATGGAATTTGGAATTTATTTATGTATTTTTGTGTTTGCCCACATGAGTTTGTGTATTATGTGTGCAGGAACCCATACAGGCCAGAAAAGGGCATCAGATCCCCTAGAACTAGAGTTACAGGAGGTTGCAGAGCTGGTGCTGGAAACCAAATCCAGATCCTCTGCAAGAGGAGTAAGCTAGCTGAGCCATCTTTCCAACCCCATAAATAGAATAGTAAAACACTGATTCAGAGAACTCGTCTTCAATCTACACATTTTCTAAATAGTACAAGTATTTCTTGCAAAATATACTCCTGACCCAGTGTGGTAGTACACACCTGTATCTCTACACTGGAAGGCTGAGGACTGAGTATAAGGCCAACGTGGGCTACATAACAAACACTTTGTGTTTGAACAGAGAAAGAAAAAAAACAGAACTCCACTACATTAATCAAAAGGATAGACTGAGCCGGGCGGTGGTGGCGCACGCCTTTAATCCCAGCACTCGGGAGGCAGAGCCAGGCGGATCTCTGTGAGTTCGAGGCCAGCCTGGGCTACCAAGTGAGTTCCAGGAAAGGCGCAAAGCTACACAGAGAAACCCTGTCTCGAAAAACCAAAAAAAAAAAAAAAAAGATAGACTGTTTTTTGTTAAGTCTGTCATAGTCTAACCACAATACAATAACCAAGAATGCAGCTAAGATGTGTTAGTATATCTTTCATCTATGTTCATAATAGGTATATTTCTTTAGTGCAGTTTATAATGCTTAATTGTCAAAGAAAGCATCTCTATGATTCACCATGTCTTATCCTCTATTTCTCTGACCCAATGTTTCTAACCAGAAGAACCATGACCAGGAGTACTAAAAAGTAGGTAGAAACCTAAGGAGCTTATGATTGAGGATTTGCACAGCTTTGAAATGGAGTATCTTGTGTAAGAAGTGTCTTTATAAAATATTCTTAATTCAACAATTTACAGTAAGAAATTAAGACTTTTGATAGAACATCCATGAACAACTGAAATATCACTGAACAACTCCAATTTCATTTTAGTAAATGTATATACACTTAAAGCAGTGGTTCTCAACCTATTCAATGCTGCAATCTGTTAATACAGTTCCTCATGCTGTAGTGACCCACAGCCATAAAGTTATTTTTGTTGCTACTTCTGAACTGTAATTTTGCTGTTTTGAATCTTAATGTAAATATTTTTGGAGACAGAAGCTTGTAAAAGGGGTCATGACCCACAGGTTGAGAGTTGCTGATCTAAAGGTTTTTCTGTCTTTAGATCAAGAGGCCTTAGTCTTACTTTTTAGTTCTCCAAGACACAATAAAACTAATACTACACTTATAGTTATAAATACCTAAAAGGAATAGATTCAGGTATGTTAAAACAACAAGCATAACAGACAAAGGAATTGAGTCTAATTATTCAATTAAAGATATTAAAACTCATTAAATAAGAAAGGGCTTTATAGGCCGGGCGGTGGTGGCGCACGCCTTTAATCCCAGCACTCGGGAGGCAGAGCCAGGCGGATCTCTGTGAGTTCGAGGCCAGCCTGGGCTACCAAGTGAGTTCCAGGAAAGGCGCAAAGCTACACAGAGAAACCCTGTCTCGAAAAACCAAAAAAAAAAAGAAAGGGCTTTATATAATGAACATAGAGAAAAACTACAAGGAAATGAAAGGCAACTGCTTGAACTTACTGGGTTATCTGTGGAATCGTCAGCCAACTGTAAACCAAAATAGTCTCTCTCAGTCAAATCAAGATGCTTGAAGACTATATCCAACAGAACTTGCCCCTGATCATGTTTCTGCAAGAAAAATAATACAAAACCATCTTTAATAGGCAGTACATTCTTTTTTTCTCCCCTTTTCTTCTCACTAAGAAGCCCTGGCTGATCATGAAAATCACAGAGATTCATCTGCCTCTGCCTCCTCTCAAGTGTTAGGATTAAAAGTGTGCACTACCACACCATGCACTTTGTTTTTTAACCTTGTATAACTTTTTGTCCTTTTTGACTACAATGGCCATTGTTTATATAGCAATGACTTGGTTGAGAATAAAGCTTCACATGTGAATACCTTTTAAGGGAAACTGTTCTTAGAAAAAATAATAAATATGAAGATGTAAAACTTTGGATTGAAAATGGCTCCTGTAGGCTATTATCATGGTATTTTTGTTATCTTATATTGTTGCCACAATAACTGTGGAGGCCCACAAAGGTTTTCTAGTAAGATCTGAGCTTGTTTTACCCAGCAGGGCTACATTAGAGGATTGCTTGACCACATGTGTGGCTACCAGGTGACTGGAAAGGGTCTGCACTTGGCTATTATAGGGCAAGGTCTTTTGCTTGACCCCTTGGCATTCCTATAAAAAGCCTTTAGAAGAGACAGAAAGGGCCAGTAGATACTGATCCAGGCCCTCTTGAGGCTATCCTGTGTTTCTGTTTCTCTCCCCTCTATTGTTCTATCTAAATATTTCTCACACCTCCCTCCTCATGAGTACCCTGGGGAAAAAGTGAAAGGGGGCCTCCCACATAGAAATGGGTAAGCCCCCCAACAGATGGTGCCAGGAACAGGGACCAGGGACTTGGTGAAAGGGGGTTTGGGGTGCCATAGGAAGCAGTGGCATGTCCAGTTTTGTAGTATAATGAAGACAGGGGTATTCTATTTTGGGCAGTATAGGTAAAGTAAGGCGGCTGAAAGAAATGCCAAAGTGAAAAGTGAGGCTGCAGTGAATCTCTCTCTCTCTCTCTCTCTCTCTCTCTCTCTCTCTCTTAATTTCTATCTATAAAAAGTAAAAATACAGGATTAGGTGTAGGAATATTGGGTAAGAAGAAATTTAGAATAAGAGTAGAACTAGGAATACTGGGTAGGAAGAAGCTTAGAGTAAGGTAGACTATAAGAATATAGTGTAGAAAAAATTTAGATAAGCAACAAGACAGAGGAGCTATATCCTTAATTATTCCAACTATAGGACTATGAACGCAGACTTCTGGGGAAGAACCTTAGTCATGAAGAAAACACTATTAAAGAAAACAGGCAGAAAAAGATTCCTGTGGAAGCTTTTGGCCTGCAGACAGCTTAGATACAAGCCTTGAGTGTCAGGAAAGAACTTTCCCAGAGGCGGATGCAAGTGAAATAAAACCCTTCGCTCTGCTGACAGTGCCACTGTATGATAACATTGCACCATCAGACTCAGTTTCCTCTTGGCCATGAAGCCAAGTTTGGGGAACTAAATTTTTAGGAAACACTTAATAATCTCTCTCTAAAAGACAAAACAAAACAATGCCAGGCAGTGGTGGCGCACACCTTTAATCTCAGCGCTCAGGAAGCAGAGCCAGGCAGATCTCTGTGAGATTGAAGCCAGCCTGGGCTACAGGGCAAGATCCAGGTCAGGCACCAAAACTATGTGGAGAAATCCTGTCTCGAAAAACAAACAAACAAACAAACAACAAACAAACAAATAAATAAATAAAATAAAATAAAAAACCTCTGAAAGCTCTTCAGGTCTTTCCATTTCAGATTTTTTTTCTTTCTGCAAGGAAAAAAATTAGATTTGCCTGGAAATAACATCTATCAGAATGGGAAAATCACCTATAATTACCCTAGAAAAACAAAAACCCTCTTGAAACATAGCAAATCCTCTCTGTCAGTGCTATCTCCCCTTCAAGTCAGTATTAGAAAAACAGCAGCCAGAATCCCCTGTGGCCAGAGGCTATGCCCATTTTCCACCGAGCAGAGGCAGCCTGGCCCCAGGATGGAGCTGCAGCAGAAGCAGTGTGAGACCCAGTGAGGGGCTGCTGGCGTGGAAGAAGCATGGAGGCTATGGGATTCTCCCTGCATCGAAAAAAGCAGGGTCCAAGCTCCTAGCTACAATGGCAGCACGGGAAAAGCAGAAGCAAAATTTGACCATACAGAAACGGGGATGCAAGTCCTTACCCTCAGAACAGAAAGCAGTAAGCAGAGCCTGAGCAGGGACTCTGTATCTGGGGGAGGAGACAAGCCAGGACAAGACAAAAATCTACCCTGGAGGGAATCTCTCTGAAAAGGCTGAAAAAACTTTTTTTTTTCTTTTTTTGACACAGGGTTTCTCTGTGCAGCTTTGCACCTTTCTGGAAATCACTCTGTAGACCAAGCTGGCCTGGAACTCACAGAGATCTGCCTGCCTCTGCCTCCTGAATGCTGGAATTAAAGGCTTGCACTACCACCACTGGGCTAAAGCTACTTTTTTGGAGGGGGGGGACTTTTATTTCCAGTACTTTCATCTTCTTTCACTGACCCAGTAAGGTGGGAGCAAGCCCCGAGGTGTTTTTGCTTCTGGCACTAAAGTACCTGTCTGAGTGTATGCCCACTCAGGGGACAGTGCCAGGTGAAAAGCTTAATCTTTACTCAAAAATCTCCCATGGCAAAAAAGCAAAATATTGATTTCAGTACAGACACAGATGTGTAAACAGGAACCAGGAATGCAGCAGCTGCCATTGGTCGCACCTGGACCCAAAAGGCAGCTTGGGAAATGTAGTTTGTAAAAGTGAAGCAGCATAGGCAAGCAGACCTGGAGAAAAAGCAGATAGACTGGGACAAAAACTTTCAAAAAGTTGCCAAAAAAACTCTGCTTTTTCAGCTCAAAACATTGCTTTTTTTTCCCCAAGTGCTGCTATAAAGCTTACCTTTACTTCCCGAAAACAAGAAACAGGTGATGCCTGTCAGGGGGCAATTAAGACACTAATGATGCTTCTCAAGTCATTTTGAAACCCTTAAGGAAACAAGGGAAAGCAGTCCATACACTGGGAAATTGCTTTAGGTATGGAAAAAACTTACAGGCAGAAAAAAAAAACACACCTTGGGTTGTGCTTGAAATGAAAGAGAGAAACACTGGCATCATGGCAATCTTAAGAAGCAGCTTTAAAAAATTAAAAAGGGGGAAATTGTATCCTCAGAAGCTTGCTGGCTGGTTAGTCTGGTGAGGAGTGTGCAACAGAGGAACATCAGCTCCAATGACGCTCCTCCACAGGCCTAATAGTTGCACAGGAAGTTTTTTCTAAGAGCTTTACAGCAGCTCAGTATGGTAATTATTCAGAATTTGTGAATTCTCTGTCTTGTTGAAAGATAATATAATAGTTCAGTTAAGAGATCTCTTCCAGATGCTTGCTAAAGTTTTTTAAATAGTCCTGTAGAGTTTGCTTTTGAAGGTAAGTTAGTTCTGCTAAGAGATTCTAGATATTTGCTGAAATTTGTAAAATAGTTCTATAGAGTTTCCTTTTGAATATAAGTTTGTAAAAAGTATAAGTAAGTATAGTGATATTCATGTTAGTTGTAAATATGTAGGGTGCTGTTAATATATTCTTTCTAAATATTTGCATAAGTTTCAAAAATAGTTATATAGTTTCCTTTTGAATATAAGTTTGTAAAAAAGTGAAAATATGTATAGTGATGTTCATGCTACTTGTAAATATGCAAAAAGTGTAAATGTTCAATGTAAGTTTGTAAAAAGTGTAAATACGTACTAGAATTGCTTTTTATTATTACTTCAATATCTGTATAGTCCAGACAAATTAGGTAACATTAATTTTTAAAAGATAAAGCAAATCAATCACATTAGAAGCATATTAAAGTTTTTATTACTCTTTTACCTTCAGATATATTTAAACACTATGATAGCTTAAAATATAATTTTATGGTTTCAATGGCCCCTGGAAAACTTAAGCAAAGGTGTCATAATTAGGGGAGCTTTTCTGTCTTCTTCCTAGAAGTTTCCACTTCTCATCTGTTTCTGTTTATAAAGGAGTAGGCCTCCCACAAGGGGGTAGGCCTCCCACAATCGAGTTAGTTTGTACAGAAAATCTACTGCTGTGTTAGGAATACATGTATATATGAGCTACTTAAACAGCTAAAGAGTGTCTTTATAATTAGCATGGGTTTTAGTTTAGTTAAGTGGATACTTTGAAGTGTTTTGAAATGACTGTTTTCTCCTGGGAATCAAAATAGTCTCTTGAAAATTTTATTGAACATCTGTTAGGAGAGAGTTTTGATTTAGAAAAGGGCTTGGTGCAGCTAAGACTGCTGTAGTCACCTTAGACCCATTCCAAAAGGATATCCCATCTTTATTATCCTCTACTCCTTTACTGGGAGGTGTGGCAGCTATGGAGATCACTGTGGATGTTTCCAGGCTCTTAATATGGACCTGGGTCAGAACTGAGTTAAGCTCTGTACCCCTCTTGCCAGAGGTGGCCAAAGACGGGCATCTTTCTCCTTGATAGCTTCCTGAATATATGTATGTAAAAATCAATCAATAAGGACAACCTAAAACAGGCACAGTCTATCTGAGGGACCTGGGAGGCCCTTTATTATATCAAGAAGAGGGAATTGTGGAGGCCCACAAAGGTTTCCAGTGAGGTCTGAGCTTGTTTTACCCAGCAGGGCTGCATTAGAGGATTGCTTGATCACATGTGTAGTTACCAGGCAACTGGAAAGGGTCCACACTTGGCTGTGCTAGGAGGAGATATTTTGCTCCACCCCTTGGCATTTCTATAAAAAGCCCTTTAGAAGAGACAGAAGGGGGTAGTGAATAATGATTCAGGCCCTCCCAAGGCTATCCTGTGTTTCTATATGTTTCTCTTCCCTCTATCCTTCTATCTAAATATTTTCACTCCTCCCTCCTCAAGAGTACCCTGGAGAAAAAGTGGGAGTGGGCTTCCCACAGAGAAATGAGTAGGCTCCCCACAAATAACTTATATATGTGTATATATGTATATATGTCTATGGTATCTGTGTCTCTTTTATTCTTATACTTAAATATGACTAGAAAGTT